GCGTTGGAGAAGAGCCTTCCTCCACGCAGCCAAGGCCAGCTAGTTGTCCAGAAGAAAGCAGTGGAACCACGGTGTGTACTGAATATTGGGATGTACCCTATGATCCTATTAATGAGACTATTTTTGGGTACTCCGAGCAACGCTCACCACTCCTGCTCGAGGTGATCTGCAACGGACAGCGCCTCCAAGCACTCGTGGACAGCGGGGCGTCGCACAGCGTCTATGACAAAAAGGCAATCGATCGACTCGGAAGTGACATCAAGTCCTCAAGCTTCTCTGCAACGATGGTGGATGGCAGTAAGCTACCTATCTACGGGGAAACACGGTTGCTACTCCAGATTGGACCCCTTCGATGGAAGCCTGCTCTCCCCGTCACAAATATCAAAGGACTCGACATAATCTTTGGGAGAGACTTTCCTAAAAAGTTCAACCCCGAGATCAACTGGGTTAACCAGACGGCCAACATCAACAACAACGGGAGGAAAATCAGCCTTCCCAAATGGGACGACACGGGAAATATTCCAGTCGAGACACTCGCACGCTTTGAAAAGGACGTCAAACGGACCACGGCGGGATTCATGGCGATAGTCAACGAGGCAGACAACGGAGAGAAGCAGACCCAGGAACTTCCTCCAGCAGTCAAGAAAATCCTTGAAGAGTTCCAGGACGTTCTCCCCGACGATTTACCTGATCAACTACCGCCATACCGGACACATCAACACGAGATCGTAGAAGAGCCGAGGTCCAAGCCAACATTTCGAGCACCATACCGGCTGAGCCCGACAGAGCTTGCCGATATGAAAAAACAAATAGAGTATCTCCTGGAGAAAGGGCTGATTCGACCTTCGACTTCGCCGTACGGAGCTCCAGTTCTCTTCACTCCGAAGCCAGACGGAAGTCTGCGAATGTGCATCGACTACCGAGCCTTGAACAAGCAGACTGTAAAAAATAAATACCCGATACCACGGATCGACGACTTACTCGATCAACTTCGCGGTGCTACGGTATTCTCCAAGCTCGACCTCAGATCGGGATACTGGCAAATTCGTATGGCGGACAACTCTATCCACAAAACCGCTTTTCGAACTCGGTACGGGTCATACGAGTATCTCGTGATGCCATTCGGACTCACTAACGCACCAGCCACATTTCAGGCGGAAATGAACCACATCCTTCGGCCCCTTCTGGACGAGTGCGTGGTGGTATATTTGGACGATATCCTGATCTACTCGAAAGATATGAAGCAGCACGTTGAGCATCTACGACGGGTGTTTGAAATTCTTCGACGAGAACGCTTCTACCTGAAACTATCCAAGAGCGAGTTTGCGTTGAAAAAAGTCCAGTTCCTTGGACATATGGTGAGCGCTCAAGGAGTTCACGTGGATCCTAAGAAGATCGAAGCAGTGCGAACGTGGAAGACCCCTGAGAACGTGAAGGAGTTACAACAGTTCCTTGGATTCGCCAACTACTACAACCGGTTCGTACCGAACTACGCCAAGATTGCCGCACCATTAACGAACCTGTTGAAGAAGAATACACCATATCAATGGGAGGCGAAGCACCAGGAAGCCGTGGAACAACTTAAAACCGCACTCACGTCCGCACCTGTTCATATCCTGCCAGACACTGAACTTGACTATGTCATCGAGGCCGATGCTAGCGATCAAGCAGTGGGCGCAGTACTCATGCAGGATCAAGGGAAGGGACTACAACCCATTGCATACCTCAGTAAAAAACTTCACGGGGCAGAACTCCATTACCCCATCCATGACAAAGAGGCCCTCGCCATCGTCAACGCATTTAAGGCATGGAGGTGTTATCTCGAAGGAAGAAAAACGACTGTCTACACCGACCACTGCAGCCTCAAGTACCTGAAGACCCAACCAACACTCTCCAGGCGGCAGGTCCGGTGGATTGACTTTCTCGAAACCCACTTCCATTACGACATCGTGTATAAGCCGGGGCACAAGAACAAGGCAGACGCACTGAGTCGCCCTGCACACGTTGCCGCCTTACAAATCGATGGCATGAACCCACTTCTGAAGGGACTCTTCACGCATGGATACACCATCGACCCCGAAGTCTCTGTAGCAGAAAAGCGCCATCTTCTACATTGGGATCAAGACATCGCATACCGCAAGGGCTCCACAAAAATATGGGTACCTAATTACCCTCCCTTACGCCAGTTACTGCTCGAAGAATATCATGATGTTCTCTACGCGGGCCACTTCGGTAGTAACAAGACGCTTGCCGGTATTGCGAAGCATTATTATTGGCCCCACATGGCGGATGACGTACAAAAATTCGTCACCTCGTGCGACACATGCCAACGGATGAAGAGTAGCAAACAGAAGAAAGCAGGATTACTACAGCCTCTTCCAGTCCCTGAACAGCCTTGGCAAGTGGTTAGCCTCGACTTCATCACCGGGTTACCACCTACCAAAGCTGGTTACGACGACATTCTAGTCGTCATCGACAAATTCTCCAAAATGGGACACTTCATTCCGACACACACAACGGCTCGCGTCGAGGAGACAGCGCAAATATTCTTCCGCTACGTCATCTCGCAACATGGCATTCCAACCACGCTGATCTCCGACAGAGACCCGAAATTCACGAGTAAATTCTGGAAGGAGCTCATGTCGCTCATGGGGACCAAACTCGCCATGTCATCAGCCTATCATCCCCAAACGGATGGTCAGACAGAGCGCCTCAACCAGATTGTCGAACAGCTTCTGCGAGCAGCGTGTAAGGACGATATCTCTAAATGGGATGCACATCTGCCGGTTCTCGAGTTTGCGTATAACAATGCCACGCACGCCGCAACAGGGCAAACTCCTTTTTTCCTCTGTTACGGTCGCAACCCACTCACGCCTCAGAAACCAACAGTACTTGCCACGGTGCAACCCGCACATGACTTCATTTCCACTATGCACCAATTGTGGGAGCGCACGCATAAACGTCTTCTGACTATCCAGCAGCAACAAAAGAAGCTCGCTGATCGGAGTCGCAACGATCATTCCATCCAGATTGGCGATCAGGTGCTTCTGGATACACGCAATCTCGACATTAGCCATCTTCCGTCTAAGCTCCGACCTCGCTTCTGCGGACCTTTTCTCGTCGAGGCGCAGGTCACTCCAGTAACCTTCCGCTTGCGTTTACCAGCTACCTGGAGAATTCACAATGCCTTCCATGTTCAACTTCTCAAGCCCTATCGGGACCCAAACACGGTCTTCAAAGGTCGCCAGCCGCCGCCGCCACTGCCAGTGATCGTTAATGGGGAACCCGAGTACGAAGTCGAAGCCGTTCTGGCGCACCGACGACGACGTAGCGGCACCTTGGAGTTCTTGATTCGTTGGAAAGGCTATGATCCTTCCGAGGATACCTGGGTACCTGAACACGACATGGATAACGCCCGCCGTCCTCTACAGGACTACCTTGTCAAGCAGGGTGTTACTTCTACCACCCAGCTTTGAGGGGGGGAAGTGTGAGAGGATGTCCCCGTTATAATATTTTCTCACTATTATATTTTTCCGTTATCCTATTCTCCCTTTTCTCCTCTTTATTTTGGTCTTTATCTCATCTCAATCGGCCTACTATTCTATTTTCTAGAGCCTTCTATTTATTTCTCTTATTTCCTACTTTTCCCACCGACATACCTATTATACAGCACCGACAGCGCCGACAGTGGTGTATACGGTGTAATCTGGGCGTAATCCCAAGTGCCAATAGACTTGCGTGCTTATGCGCACTTGTGATTGTAGTATCGGGAAGGGTGTGTTCCCGAAGGTTCGTTTTATCTCGTTTATCCTTGTACTTTCCGAGTATAAATAGGCCTTGTATTCAGTTTTAGTGACAAGTTTCGATTGAGAATTCGATCCTGTGACACCCATGCCCGCCACCCCCAAACCCTAACGCAGGCAGGAGCGCGGGGAGCAGCAGGGACGGTCCACGGAGGGAAAGGGAGGCGGCGGGGGGTCTCCTGGGCGCCACGAAGGAGCAGGGCGCGGGCCCCCCGAGGGCACCACGGCGGGTGACGGGAGAGGGGGCCGCGCGCGGGCTTGGCGCAGCTCGTACCGGCCGCGCGCGGGCTGTACTGGCCGCGCGCGGGCCTGGCGCAGCCCATACGGGTCGCGCGCGGGCCTGGCGCAGCCCATACGGGCCGCGTGCGGGCCTGGCGCAGGTCGCGCGGGCCGCGACGGGCGACGGGGGGCGACGCCACGGTCGGCAGGGGGCGACGCACGGTTCGACGGGGCAGAAAACTGCCGCGCGCCCCGAGCGCGCGGCGGGAAGAAAAAATCGCTGCGCGCTCGGATCACGCGGCACGCAGGAAACAGCTGCGTCCGGGGCGCGTTACAGGCAGTAGAGCAGCGGAAGCATCGGGTGGGGCCCACCCACAGAATCGACCGAGGGGGGTCGACCTGCTCTGATACCATGTCGAAAGTTAAGCAAGAAGTTTAGCAGAAGAAAAGGAGAGCTTCATTATTAAGCAGGGCAGTACATATAGCAAACCCTAATGTGGGTTGTACTCACTATAGAGTACCCCACTGCAAACTAGACAATAATAACATTCTGACACATAGTAGAGCGATTGTAGCTGAAAATGTCGTGCACTAGTGTTGAGGGAGACTCGCCTCTGGGAAGTGTGCGAGTTCTAGCCTGCTTGGAGGGGGAAAAAAAACTACTCGAACGGAAATGTTGATTGAGCCGTTGGAAAACGAGAAATGTGGGTGGAGGGAATGAGCTCCAACCCACGGTTTTTGTAGTTGGAGAAGGGCGTTTAGCGCGTTTCGACGAAGCCAAATATTCGGTACAGGCAGCTTCACTTTCACAATACGCAATTTTGAAAAACACCAATGTGTTTAAAATTTATAAATTTTACAGGGGGTGCGCTCATAAATGAGGATCGGCCATAAGCACATTGTTCCAGATATAAGCGCATGAGCTTGTTATCTACACATGTATTAATCAGAATGTCCGTCGTGTTGTATCCGAAAGCTATGAGTGTAAGCTTTTCAGTCTGTCCCTTTGCGCCCGCGTTTTTCCGTCCCGTCGCCCACGCGATCTCCTCTCGCCTCCCTTACCCACGCGATTGTCGCCGCCCTTCCGTGGCTCGTCCCGCTGCCTTCTCATCGCCCATCCCATCGTCCATCCCGTCGCCCATACCATCGCCCATCTCGTCGCCCATCCCGTCGCCCATCCCGTCGTCGATCCCGTCGCCCTTCCCGTCGCCCATCCTGTCGCCCCTCCCTCCGCCCTTCCTATCTCCCCTCGCCTATCCTCTCCCCCGTCGCCCTTTCTCTCCCCCGTCGCCCTTTCTCTCTCCCGTCGCCCTTTCTCTTTCCCGTTGCCCTCCCTCCTGTCGCCCTTTATCTCTCCCGTCGCCGATCCTCTCTCCCCTCGCCCTTCCTTTCTCCCGTCGCCTATCCTCTCTCCCGTCGCCCTTTATCTCTCCCGTCGCCTATCCTCTCTCCCGTCGCCCTTTCCCTCTCCCGTCGCCTATCCTCTCTCCCTCGAAACAGTCATTGCCCTTGCTCTCTCCCCTCCCGTCACCCACCTCGGCGCCCTGGCGCTCGCCCCGAAATGCCTGCCCGTCGCCCTTCGTTTCTCCCCTCCCATCACCCATCTCGGCACCTTCGCGCTCGCCCCGAAATGCCTGCAAGTCACCCTTCCTTTCTCCCCTCCCATCTCCCCACACCCTACCATTCCACAATTTTCGCTCAATCAGCTCTCTACGTGCGTCGTCGTTTCCTTCTCTCTCTTCCTTTTTTTATTCCTAACATAAAACTCTCTGTTTTTTTTGCATTTCTGCTTTTCCTACGCTGTTTGTGCCGCTCCAGCAGGTCCATGTCTGAGGCGTTTGTTGTGCGTGAATTGCACATGCAAAACCTGTTGAAATTGGCCCCCTCGTGTAATCGGGAATCGCACGTCGCATTTGCACATGCTTGCGACGTTTTTTGTGAGAATCACTGTGAAGACTTGAACGTGTCTGAAAAAACAAAACAGAACAACGCTTCAACCGTCAAAAGCATTAAAAAGTTAGTTTGAGATTTCAAGTGGACCCACTAGAAGGGGGGGGGGTCACTATTTTAGCTGCTGGCTTTATTAGGCCTACGTTCATATCCGGGGTGATACGGTATCATAAATAAAGCAGCTGCTATGTCCCACCAAATTGTGGTACCAAGTAGGTTACAGGTCAGTAGTAATCAAATGTGGTGTGCAAGTCACAAGCCTTGCTTGTTGTGAATATCAGAACTGGGTTGATAGCGAACTATAGCTAGCCCAGAACAAGTGATACAACCACAAGAACAATACGACCTGCTGATGGTTGGAGCCCTTACAATATGGTAATAGCAGGCGTAGGCAACGGGACTGTATCCATCTAAACTAATACGATAACCAGTCTGGTGTCTGGTGGCTGCTGTACCGGTATTGTTGCAAACCAAACAATCAATTTAACTTTGATACGAGGCTGATTTGGTTTGTTTAAAGGAAGTAGTCGGGTGTTCTCCTGCTGATATCAGGCTCTCCTCTTCTTGGTGCCGGTTCAAACTGCAGAAGCAGGGCAACAGGTGCAAGGCAGGTTGAGTAAAACACAGCATCACTCAAATATACAGCAGAAGTTCACAAATTAAAAAAAAAAAAAAAAAAAAAAAAAAAAAAAAAAAAAAAAGAGGGGGGGGGGGGGGGGGGGGGGGGGTAGGTGCGGAAAAGTGTGGTGCGGTGCTGTGTGGTGTCGGGGTGTGGTGCAGGAGAGGCCATACCTGAATGAAGGTGTGCCCCATGGCATCATCCACCTCCAGAATAGCAGCCATGTTGCCTGTGGTAAAGTGCAGTACAGTGTGGTACAGTGGGGTGTGGATGGACGGGTTGGGCAGGAGACATGTGTGTGGGTAGGGCATGCTCAGGTGACCACACACTAATTGCAGCAACAACAACCAAGTGAGGGGAAGAAATTAATGAGCCACAGCTTAAAGCGGGGTTGCACATTTGAGTGAGATGAGGCAAACGCTTGATCGAGTGAGCTGGGCCACACAGCTTATATAACTTGCCTCCAGTTTGTTGAGGGCTTTCCTTTCATGTGTGCTTGCTTATGACAAGTATTTACCATCATTTGCCCAAAACACGCACGCTAAAATGTGTGTATCGCTTATAGTGATAGATGCATAGGCTCACCGCATCGATAGCAGTAGTTTGGTGCACTGAAAATAGTGACCACTTTTTGCTCCTGGTGAAGGCACATGTGAGGGAGGGATTATTTTGGGAAGGGAAGGTGTGAGGAAGAGAATGCAGAAGGAAGCAAATGTAAGAGGGCGAGGATTGAGTGGAAGGGAGTGTGTGCGGCAGGAGCATGTGAGGGAGGAGTGTGTGAGGGAAGAAGTACTGTAATCCCCCGTACATAAGACCCTAGGGTCTTATGATAATCACCCCTAAAAAGGCTGGGGGGTATAATTAAATGGTATATTTTTTAGAAGACCCAGGTCTGTTCATATTGACATTTATAAGAATGTAGTTTTGGAGCTCAAAGAAGTGATTTGGTATTGCTCCGTTTTTAGCTCCTCCCAAAAATACTCGAATTGGTCTCCACAAGGGCCGAACTCACGTCATCATGAACCCTATCAGGGAGCCTCCTCCCATTGACCACCAACACCACTTGGTGTTCACACGACAGCGCAGGGCACCGTTTGATGGCCTCGGCCTTCACAACCCATTCAAGCTTCGTGCGGGCTGCATGGAATATGACCATTTTCAATTGCATTTTTGTAAAATCCGCACTTCTCTAGGATGTGGGGGGGTCTTATAATGTTAGGAGTCATTTAGGGGGGTACAACTCAGATGTACTCGAATAGAGTACCCGGGTCCGTATTATAGACCCGGGGGTCTACAACTGGGGGGGGTCCTATATACGGGGGATTACAATATGTAGGGCAGGGAGGATGTGCGGCAGGAAGTATGTGAGGAAGGAGGTTCAGAACTAAGTGGAGAAAGACGCAGGACGCTAGAGGAGGGCCTTTAGGACGCATGAAAAGACGCATGCCCGGGCAGGGCGAAAAAAAACCCCGGGCAGCCGAAAATGATGTTATAGGGTATGGGAAGGGGGGGGGGGGGGGGGGGGAGGAACGACGATGCACACATTTGAGGCAAAATCGTCCCCTTTACATTTCCAGGGTTTAGGGTTTACGAAGGAGAATTGTCTTGGTAAACCCTCTAGGGTGTTTTTGATGGTCGAAATGGGTTAGGGGGGGTCGACATGACGCGAAATTGAAAGTCGCGTCGAAATCGTTGAAGTCAATTTCGCGCTGAGGCAAAAAAAAAAAAAAATCCGGTCAGCCCGAAAAAAAACGAGGTGCGTCCTGCGTCTCTGCGTCTGGACGCGTCCAGACGCAGGACGCGTGCGTCTTTCTCCACTTCAGAATGACACAGAAAGACGGAGGAGGAGAGGAACGGCGAAGGGGAGAAGAGAAGGCGTGTAGAAGGGGGATTTAGGGAATTAGACTCTTGCAGAGCCACCAAAGAAAGAACTCTGGAAGGACACAGCAGGAACTACATCCCCCCATCATGCATTGATGAGCAATTGGTTAAAACTTGGAGTAAAGAGGCGTCACTCTAAATGGCTTGCTAAGAGAGAGACTCACGTGCGCCCAGTTATATCCCTCCATCACTAGTTGATGTGCTCTCGCCACCAGCTTCAGCCCGTTGTTGTGATTGAACTGCTCTGATATGTCCTGTGCAGGGGAATAGGTGGAGAGTAGTAGGTGGAGCAGAGTGGGTGGAGGGGAGTGGGCGGAGGGGATTGTTATGGGAGAGTGACGAGAAGGATTCATGACACTTGCGGTTCTGGCTTGCGACCAGTTCTCGCTACCAGCTTCAGCAACGCACAACTCACCTGCCTGCCCGAACCTGCACCCAGCAGCCTGCTCACCTGGCCGAACGTGTAGCCAGCACCACGGGGTGAGATGCCCCAGCCGCAGCGGTCGTCGGGGTCGGACCAGAGCAGGTCGCACATGGGCCCCTCGTGAGGCACCTCCTGAATGCGGTCGAGCTGCCTCACGTGGTCCAGTGAGTCTATTGAGGGGGACAGGCCCCCGTGCAGACAGAAGATCTCTGATTCGACCTGAGGTCGGGGGTGAATGGGGGGGGTGGGGGGAGGGAGCAGGGGAGCAGGGACGGGGGAAGGGGAGGGAGCAGAGGAAGGAGCAGTGGAGGGAGGGAGAGCAGGGCAGGGTGATGAGAAGGCGAGGAGGTGAGGTGGCACATGGGTCCCTCCCCTCGTGAGGCACCTCCTGAATTCGATCGAGCTGCCAGACGTGGTCCAGCGAGTCTATTGAGGGCGACAAGCCCCCGTGCAGACAGAAAATCTCCGACTCGACCTGAGGTGAGGTGGGGAGAGGAGGGAGAAGAGGAGGCTGATGAGGAGTCTATGAAGGGAGGCCCCCATGCAGGCAGAAGATCTCCGACTCGACCTGAGGGGAGGAGGGGGGCAGAGAGGGGAGGAAGGACGGAGCAGTTGGGGGAGAGGAAGCAGAAGAGGGTTGAGGGGAGGAGGGATCTGAGGAGGGAGAAGCGGACAGAGGAGGAGGCTGAAGAGCAATCGAGTCTGTGGTTGGTTGGGCTATAAGACCATGCAAGCAAAAGATATGCAACTCCAGCAGCAGTGAATGTAGGGACGATGAGCAAGGGGCGCATGGCAGGACGGTCAGAAGGTAACGAGAAGGGTGAGAATAACACAGAAAGCACCACAGCAGTGAGAGCGTTGTGCGAGGAAGGGGGTGAGGGTGGGGGTGGGGGAGGGGGTGGAGGTTGGGGGAGGGGAGGGGAGGGGAGGGGAGGGGAGGGGAGGGGAGGGGAGGGGAGGGGAGGGGTGGGGAGGGGAGGGGAGGGGAGGGGAGGGGAGGGTAGGGGAGGGGAGGGGAGAAGGGGAAGGGAGGGAGGGATGGAAAGAGGGAGCGGATTACGTACCACGGCGGTGACAGGGAAGTAGTCGAAGAGGTCTGTGAGCATCTTCCACACACTCGCACTGCCGTACCTGCACGGCGTGGCATGGTTTGGCATGGCATGGCGTGGCATGGGGTGAGTGAGAACAGTGTTGATGGTTAGTAGAACGACAATACAGTGTGCAAGGTCCCACTGTGAGGATCTGAATGGGAGAACACAAATTCCACTCATCACAGAAACCGTAGGCTGGAGTGACATACAATGGAATCTGTGACTGATCTGTGACTGATTATCTTCAGTGCGTGCAACGTGAACCATCCCCCCCTCACTATTCTCTCGCTGCGCAGAGTTTTCACACTCCTTGCGAGAAGTAAGGACCATAGCGAGCTCTGCTCATTCTAGCACTCACTTGCGAAGGCATTCGTCATAGAAGCCGTAGACTTGCGTGATCTGCAAACAGGGGAAGGGAATGAGAGAGGGAGATGGAGGGAGAGAGGGAGGAAGAGACGGAGGAAGGGGAGGGTGGGAGAGAGGGAGGGAGGGAGGGAGGGAGGGAGGGAGGGAGGGAGGGAGGGAGGGAGGGAGGGAGGAGCGAGGGAGGGACGAAGGGAGTGAGGGTGGGAGGGAGGGAGGGAGGGAGGGAGGGAGGGAGGGAGGAGCGAGGGAGGGACGAAGGGAGTGAGGGTGGGAGGGAGGGAGGGAGGGAGGGAGGGAGGGAGGGAGGGAGGGAGGGAGGGAGGGAGGGAGGGAGGGAGGGAGGGAGGGAGGAGCGAGGGAGGGACGAAGGGAGTGAGGGTGGGAGGGAGGGAGGGAGGGAGGGAGGGAGGGAGGGAGGGAGGGAGGGAGGGAGGGAGGGAGAAGCGAGGGAGGGACGAAGGGAGTGAGGGTGGGAGGGAGGGAGGGAGGGAGGGAGGGAGGGAATCAACGAGGGTGAGAGGACAGAAATGAGGAAGAGAGGGAAGAAACGAGGGAGGGAGTGGGGGAGGGAAGGGGCGAGAGAAGCATGACCTAACATGCATGACTACCTGGGGGGGGGGGGGGGGTGGTGGGGGAGGTGGGGAGCGGGGGAGCAACTTTCTGACTATCACTGCACGCAGAGCGCGCCTGCAGAAAAGCAAATGGAGTTCGGACGGCAGCAAGAGAGAGAGCACGCACCTGGCGACTCTCGTGGTTCCCTCGGAGAATGGTGATGCGGTCAGGGTGGCGCACTTGTGTGTTTTGGGTCGCCCGAAACACACCTGGATTCAAGCCGCAGCAAGTGAGAGAGCACGCACCTGGCGACTCTCGTGGTTCCCTCGGAGAATGGTGATGCGGTCAGGGTGGCGCACTTGTGTGTTTTGGGTCGCCCAAAACACACCTGGATTCAAGCCGCAGCAAGTGAGAGAGCACGCACCTGGCGACTCTCGTGGTTCCCTCGGAGAATGGTGATGCGGTCAGGGTGGCGCACTTGTGTGTTTTGAGTCGCCCAAAACACACCTGGATTCAAGCCGCAGCAAGTGAGAGAGCACGCACCTGGCGACTCTCGTGGTTCCCTCGGAGAATGGTGATGCGGTCAGGGTGGCGCACTTGTGTGTTTTGGGTCGCCCGAAACACACCTGGATTCAAGCCGCAGCAAGTGAGAGAGCACGCACCTGGCGACTCTCGTGGTTCCCTCGGAGAATGGTGATGCGGTCAGGGTGGCGCACTTGTGTGTTTTGGGTCGCCCGAAACACACCTGGATTCAAGCCGCAGCAAGTGAGAGAGCACGCACCTGGCGACTCTCGTGGTTCCCTCGGAGAATGGTGATGCGGTCAGGGTGGCGCACTTGTGTGTTTTGAGTCGCCCAAAACACACCTGGATTCAAGCCGCAGCAAGTGAGAGAGCACGCACCTGGCGACTCTCGTGGTTCCCTCGGAGAATGGTGATGCGGTCAGGGTGGCGCACTTGTGTGTTTTGGGTCGCCCGAAACACACCTGGATTCAAGCCGCAGCAAGTGAGAGAGCACGCACCTGGCGACTCTTGTGGTTCCCTCGGAGAATGGTGATGCGGTCAGGGTGGCGCACTTGTGTGTTTTGAGTCGCCCAAAACACACCTGGATTCAAGCCGCAGCAAGTGAGAGAGCACGCACCTGGCGACTCTCGTGGTTCCCTCGGAGAATGGTGATGCGGTCAGGGTGGCGCACTTGTGTGTTTTGAGTCGCCCAAAACACACCTGGATTCAAGCCGCAGCAAGTGAGAGAGCACGCACCTGGCGACTCTCGTGGTTCCCTCGGAGAATGGTGATGCGGTCAGGGTGGCGCACTTGTGTGTTTTGGGTCGCCCGAAACACACCTGGATTCAAGCCGCAGCAAGTGAGAGAGCACGCACCTGGCGACTCTCGTGGTTCCCTCGGAGAATGGTGATGCGGTCAGGGTGGCGCACTTGTGTGTTTTGAGTCGCCCAAAACACACCTGGATTCAAGCCGCAGCAAGTGAGAGAGCACGCACCTGGCGACTCTCGTGGTTCCCTCGGAGAATGGTGATGCGGTCAGGGTGGCGCACTTGTGTGTTTTGAGTCGCCCAAAAAACACCTGGATTCAAGCCGCAGCAAGTGAGAGAGCACGCACCTGGCGACTCTCGTGGTTCCCTCGGAGAATGGTGATGCGGTCAGGGTGGCGCACCTTCAACGACACCAGCAGCTGCGGGCGGGATGCGCGGATTACGCAGGTGGAGACACAGCAGAGAGAGAAGACTGAGAGTGAGCGAGAGCAGGAGTAACGAGAAGCTTAGACTGGCTAAATACAGAATACACAAGAGAAAACAACTCCCGGATACATGTGGCTTCGGTGGCAAGGGAAGTACACAGCTTACAACAAAACTCGCTAGCAATTGAGATGTTGACGCAAAAGAAGGGCCTCAGGAGGGGAAGCTTACAGTGACTGTCTCGACGGAGTAGTAGCCTCTATCGACATAGTCACCCATGAAGAGGTAGTTGGTGTCTGGTGACTGCAGACACGCGGAGCGACAGAAGAAGGCATGGGAAGAGATGGGATGCCGGGAAAACGACGGACGTAGAAATCAGCTAAACACTAGGTTCTGTACACACTCCCACATGAAGAATGTTACACTAGCTAACTCGCACGACGTATGCTGTTTAAATCGCACAGAATAAGCCATTCGAACCCCAAGACCCGAGTGAGTGCTATTCGGAAACTCAACCCAGCAACAGCATACCTTTCCGCCAATGCGGAATAGCTCCGAGAGGTCGTGAAATTGCCCGTGAATGTCGCCACATATGGTCACTGGGCACCGGACAGGCTGGAATGAGACGGGAAATTATGAGTAGATGGAAGCAGTCGGAAAAAAAGCTATGTTACGCCGCCAACACCCACAGTTGATAATGTACGACTGAAAAGCAAGAACTAGATGGCATGGGAAACATCAATGTGCTGCTTGAGTAAACTCGCGACAGTTTTCAATAGGTAGCGACAAGTTGCGACCCCATGGACTAGATAAAGAGCGGTAAAAAGGTGAAGGCAGAAACAAGTCAAAGTCGAGATTGGTTGGTTAACTTAACCAGCTCTGAGTGCACAGCGTGCGATGAAGCAGTTAACTTTGTCAGCGACACAATGTAACCAATTTCATTGTTCCACTCAAGCGATTTGGCGGAAAGAGGACATTAGAGTAGTCGCGACAGGCGTCGTAGGCTTCGAGAGATGCCGAGGGATCAGCACAAAAGGCTACTTCAGTCCGTAGTTTCAGAGGGCTCGGTACGTCAATAACATGTGCCTGCTGCCACACATTTTTCTGGTCTAGAAAGCTTTTGGAACATTGCGACGATCAATCTGAAAAAGCGAACGCGAAAACCGCTAGGATCAGCCTGAAAGACTCACTGGAGCATTGCTAGGATGGAAACCTTAGACATTGCAGGGATTAACATAGAAAGCTTACTTGTACATTGCTCTCTTCCACCAAAATCTCCCTGGCTTTCTCGCAGAGGGCCTTCACCTGCAGGAGATTACAAACGGACAATGCTGCCCAAGTTTGAAACCCTGATGCAGGAAAACGAGCCGACATTGCCGTGTTATGATGATACCTCGATACAAATGTGCACAAGGAAGATAGAAGATTAACGTCGGAACGGCGGTAAATACTGAGCTGATTAATTAACTGAACTCAAACGTGTCAACATTTGAGATCGTGCGGTCCGAAAGCAAAAAATCGGATGACGCTGGCCAACGCTCACTCAATATCGGGAACTTATGAAGCTGAAATAAAATAGGTCGAAGTACGCGGAACGCAGTAGGCGGACGACGCACCTCTGCCTCGGTGAGAGGTTTACATTCGTGGAGCTGTGCAATATGCGAGTCGAGCTGCTCCTGATTTACCATGTCTTCTCTACCTTGCCTGAACGAAAGCTCTTAGACAGAAGATAAAACGGGTCTAAACTACCGCGTAACACCGTGCGAAGATCCGAGGATAGGATTGGACCCCAGCGACTAAGGGTTAGTTGATCAATGCTAGCAAACATTCATCAAGCAAGGCTTCAGCTTGTGGCCGTTGTACAGAGCAGTCGCTCTTATCAACAGAGCACCAACAGAACCAACACTGATCTGGCAGTGATCTAAAGAGAGTACCAGTTATGACCCTCTCAACTCTACCCAAATCTTCTAGTTGGTAAATAAAACACTTTCCAACCTTTTCTACCGTACGCAGTTCAAAAACTTCTATCACCCTAAACAGGCTATTGCTGAAAACACGTAGGGTTTTGGAAGAAGCACGAGGACAGCGGTGTATCGCGTCTAACCGTTCAGAAACGCACACCATCTGAAACTCGGTACAGAGACCTGAGGTTCGAAATACGTCCTTCGGTAAATATAGCACATCCTCACAAAACTAAATATTGATGCATGAGGACAGCTTGACCTTCTCACACCAGTGGTAGATTTTGAGCAGCACTGCCAATAGGCAGTCGCCTCGTCAGCATCAGTGGCAAGAGTAGCGAGTCAAAATGGAGCCTTGAACTCGCAATGTTGTGATCTTTCAGGTCAGGCTGACGAAGCAGCAACTTATGTTCTGTGTTCGCACATCCCTGGCCCGAAGCCCGTGTATTTTGTTGCGAAGAACCAGTTCATCATTGGTAGCACGTCGGGAATCCCTTACTGGTCAGAATCAGGTAACCTTGTTCGTACAAGTTACAGCCTTATCCAGTTCAAGTCGTGTTTTACTCCTTACAGTTTCCGGTTGAGATCGGCGAGGAGGTTCTCGAGTTGGAAGAAATTACACACGAGCGATAGAGGGCATTTGTTTGGGCGAGGCTTTTGGCGATATCCACGAACGAACTTTTCATTTCCTCCGACAGGCGTGTAAAGCGCGTTCCCAGTACATTACTCTGCACGTTAGCGCAGCGCGATGGCGACCGCCTCTATCATAGCATGCTCAGCGCGAGCGCCATCGAGCTGTCTCGCGGCGCGATACTCTTCAGGAGGCGCGCGCCGCGTTTCGCTCGCAGGCCGCGTTTTAGCCACCCAGAGCGCGCTCCCGCCGTCCGCCCGTCACTGGGCGCGCATTTACCGGACAGGAGCGCGAAGAATCGATAGATTGAACGATAGTGCCGCGCAAAGGCTTGCGGTTGCGCCGATTGCGCCTGCTACTACCTCTGTCCCGCCCGTCACCCGCATCGCGTCAATCACGAGCCATAGTTGGCGGCGAAGGTTCCTTGTTCCTTCGGCAAGCACCGGATCTGCTGCTGGCGCGGGTGACACAGACGCGGGTGACTCAACCGAAGGGTACGTGGCCGGCTCAACTTTCGTATAAAAATTCACAATAAGTCACAAGCGGATCCTCTCTTGTTACAGGTCTTGTAGCTCATGATTTTTGGTTGAGACCAGATTCTTGTTAAACTTCACTTTCGTGGAATCTGCAGGAGGAAAGAAGCGGAGAAACCCAAGGCAGTGGATCCAGAAATCGTGGAGGCCGGGAAAGAGGGAGAAACGGGTCCCCGTTCCCGAGATGCTGACGTGGCTAGGAGTGCTGACGTGGCAGGGGATGCTGACATGGACCTAGAGGCGCTGGCTCGTGAGCTGAACATGGATCTGAAGGAGGTGCAGGAGGCGGAGAGGATGTTCGAAAGTGCCATGTCAGCAGTTGCCTCGCTGGAATCGTTATCTGCCAAGTTTGATCAGATGATTCTGGAAACTGCTGCTGCTGAGTCGGCCGAATCAGAGGATTCTCGCAAGGGTTTAAGAGGGGTTTTGGGTGAAGGGGGTTTAGAGAATGCGGGTTTAGAGGGTTTAGAAAGAGGAATGAAAGAGCTGGTTAAGGAAATTGAAGCCGCATCGTCTAGGGTATCGAGAGAAGGCATCAGCAAATCGGGGGAGGGGAGTGAAGAGGCGGATGATGAAGGTGCTGACGTGGACTTGGCAGGGGAGGCCATTGCTGACATGGAGAATGACCTGGCGGAGCTGCAGCGGTCGGTGGCGGCCACGCTAGCTGAGCTGGACCGCACTGCCACGTCACTCACTCCGGAGCTTGGGCTGCAGGAAGTACTGAAGCTTAAGTGAGTGGCAGAAGTTACTTCAGTGGTTAGTGGGACTTACGTAAGAGCTCGGGCTGCAGAAAGAGCTTCATTGACTTCTGCGAGCTGTGGTAGTGGTGGTGCTTATGTAAGTGGTGGGAGTTTTCAAGGTGGTGACCCCTTTCCTCCCCAAACCTCCCCCTCTCCCTCATCCCCGTGCTCTCTAACCCAAATCCCGGCTCGATTTCAGGAGTTCCATATCTGCTGACGTGGCGCAGATAGAGCAGCAGACAGGTGCCATTCTCGGATTGCTGAGAGAGGCCCAAGAGCTGCAGGAAGCTTCCCAGCAGCCCGGCGCTCCAATGGGAGCGCGCCAGCTGGCGGCGCAGAGAGCCGTGGAGGCTCGGAACGCCATGGCTGCGATGGCAGGCTCGGCCGAAGCTGCGGCAGAGACGTTGAAGGCTTTGGAGCAGGAAGGGGCGGCGGACTGGGATGGGATGGGGGGAGTTAAGGGGGAGGCGATCAGGAGGGCAGGGGAGGAGGTTAAACGGAGGAGGGGAGAGGAGGAGGGAGGAGGGGAGCAAGACGACGACGATGATGATGAGTGAGTGGGGTTTGGATGGAAGGTGAGGTGAGGGAGTCGATTTTGAACGGTGAGTTGGTGGGGTTCAGGAGTTGGTGGGGTTTAAGAGTTGGTGGGGTTTAGGAGTGACTTAACTGGAGTTGGACTTTCACCATTATCGCCTCCTGTCCTCACTCTCCAGCAGCCCTCCCAATCCCAACATCCACCCTCCCTTCCTTCCCTCCCCCCCTTCTCTCCATCCCTCCTCTCCCTCTCCCTTCCTCCCTGCCAGCCGGCCAACCTGCCGCAGCGGCACGAGGTGGCAGCCGACCGGGCGGAGCTGAAGAAAGAGCTTGCGGAGATGCTCGGCAGCAACGCGCTTGTCTGCTTACTCTGTGCTCGCCTCTACCCCCCCCCTCCCTTTCAAACCCTTCTCCAGCCAGCCGGCCTACCTGCCGCAGCGGCACGAGGTGGCAGCCGACCGGGCGGAGCTGAAGAAAGAGCTTGCGGACATGCTCGGCAGCAACGCGCTTGTCTGCTTACTCTGTCCTCGCCTCTACCCCCCCCTCCGGAGAGTATGGTGCAACCACTGATTACGTACCAACGGAGGAAGGACAAGAGGATGGGAGATAGACCTGGAGCGTCAGCAGGGTACTAAGGCTGAGGAGAAGAGAGTGAGCCGCCGAAGGGGAGAGGACAGTGCGACACCCCCTCCCTTTCAAACCCTTCTCCAGCCAGCCGGCCTACCTGCCGCAGCGGCACGAGGTGGCAGCCGACCGGGCGGAGCTGAAGAAAGAGCTTGCGGAGATGCTCGGCAGCAACGCGCTTGTCTGCTTACTCTGTCCTCGCCTCTACCCCCCCCTCCCTTTCAAACCCTTCTCCAGCCAGCCAGCCTACCTGCCCCAGTGGCATGAGGTAGCAGCCGACCGGGCAGAGCTGAAGAGGGAACCTGCGGAGATGCTCGGCAACGCCGTGCGGCTGTTGCAGGAGGGGGGAGGGAAGTAGGAGTCTCACCAGCCTCTGTCCTCTTACCCTGTCCTGTCGCCCCCCCCCCTTCTCCGACGAACCCCCTCCAGCCAGCCAGCGTAACTGCCCCAGTGGCGCGAGGTTCCAGCAGACCGTGCAGAGCTCAAGAGGGAGCTTGCGGAGATGTTCAGCAACGCCGTGCAGCTGTTTCAGGAGGGGGGAGGGAAGCAGGAGTCTCACCAGCCCTTGTCCCCTTACCCTGTCCTGTCGTCTCCTCTTCCCCTACCCAACCCAACCCCTCCTCCAGCCAGCCAGCGTACCTGCCGCAGTGGCACGAGGTAGCAGCAGAGCGGGCGGAACTGAAACGAGAACTCGCGGAGATGTTCAGCAACGCCGTGCAGCTGTTTCAGGAGGGCGATGAGGAGGGGGCGATGGCTCTGGTGGCGGCTAATGAGGCAGAAGTGATGGGGCAGGTGAGGAAAGGGAGATGAGGAGAGGAGGACCAGACAGCAGGAGAGAAGGGTGTGGAGCAGGCAGCAGTGCTGATGGCGCTCCTTCCTGTTCAAAGTCTCTACTGTTTCTGAAACGATTTTTTAGGCGCCTCACTGAACTGAAGCACAGTGAGGTGATTTTATAGTCTCCCACTGTTTAGAGGTGACTTTTGAGTCGACTCAAAAGTCACCTCGTCACAGTGAGGTGATTTTATGGTCTCCCACTGTTTAGAGGTGACTTTTGAGTCCACTCAAAAGTCTCCTCGTCACAGTGAGGTGATTTTATGGTCTCCCACTGTTTATGAAGCACAGTTATTTCCACCTTCCCCTCCTGCCCCGCCCTCTTCTCGTCCTGTTGGCAGGTGGTGGCAGGGGAGGCGGGTGTGGAACAATCAGCAGTGCTGCTGGCGCTGTCACAGCTGCTGCTGGGGATGGGGGAGGAGGCCAAGGGGAGACAGCTGATGGATCAGGTGAGGGATGAAGGATGAGGTGTGATGGGTGTGTTGTGAGGTGCGATGTTGGCGTTATGGGGTGCGATGGGTGCATTCTGAGGTGCGAGCGAGGGATGAGACATGAGGGGTGAGGGGTGCAGCGAATGCTGTGGATGGGGGAGGAGGCCAAGGGGAGACAGCTGATGGACCAGGTGACGGGTGAGGGGATAGGATTTGTACGCCAGGGTTTTGTGTAGGTCGCATCACAGCTGCTGCTGAGGATGGGGAAGGAGGCCAAGGGGAGACAGCTGATGGACCGTGTAAGTAAGGGAGAAGGAATACTATGGGTTGCAATGAGTGGTGTGGTGCATCCACAGTGGCTCGAGGCTGTCTCAAAAACACCCTCGCTACACGTGGGAATACTGTGGGTCGCAATGAGTGGTGTGGTGCATCCACAGTGGCTCGAGGCTGGAGGTTCAGTGTAGGTTGCCGCTGCTGCTGGGGATGGGGCAGGAGGGCCAGGGGAGACAGCTGATGGACCAGGTGAGGCTGTCAGGGGGAGGGATGCGCTTGGCATGGGGTGAAGGTTGGGAGGTTAGTGCAGTGCGGGAACCAGGTGCTTCTGGGGATGGGGCAGGAGGGCAAGGGGAGGCAGTTGATGGATTAGGTGAGGCTGTAGGGGGGAAGGATGCGCATGGCAAGGGGTGAAGGTTGGGAGATTACTGTGGGTTGCAGATGCTGCTGCTGGAGATGGGGCAGGAAGCCAACGAGAGTCCCTCGACCCCGTTTTTTAGTCGACTCAAAACACGGCTCGTTTTAGGGGGAGAGGATTGATGGATTGGGTAAGGCGTGAGGTGTTCAGTGCTTGTCCTTTCTCCTTATGCCATTCGTCTCATCCTCCCATCCCCTCCCTCCCCCTTCTTCTCTTCTATCCCACCAGGCTCTCGCTCTCGTGGCCTCTCACCCCTCCGAGCCTCTGCTAGACGATCTGCTAGAGAACGCCGGGGACATGCATTATGGCATGGACATGTAACTCTTCTTTCTCCTTCTGCCACTGGTCGCCCTTCCTCCCCTCTCTCCCCAGGCTCTCGCCCTACTGGCCTCTCACCCCTCCGAGCCTCTGCTAGTCGACCTGCTAGAGAACACGGGCGACATGTATTACGGCATGGACATGTACTTTTCTACCTCCATTCGTCTCCCCCTCCCCATCCCCCTCCCCCTCCCCCTCACCCTCCCCTTCCCTGCTCCCCCTCCCCTTCCCCGCTCCCCCTCCCCCTCCCCCTCCCCCTCCCCCTCCCCCCGCCCCTATCTTCCCTTGAGGACATGTGTTACGGCATGCAGATGTGCCTTTCTTTCCTTCGCCTCCACTACCTCCCCCCCCACCACACTCTCGCACTCGTGGCCTCTCACCCCTCCGAACCTCTGCTAGACGACTTGCTAGAGAACGCGGGCGACATGTATTACGGCATGGAGATGTGCTTTTCTTTCTCCTTATGCCACTCCTCTCTTCCTCCCATCCCCTCCGCTCCCCTCTCTCTCCAGGCTCTCGCTCTAGTAGCCTCTCATCCCTCAGAGCCTCTCCTAGACGACCTGCTAGAGAACGTGGGGGACATGTATCACGACATGGACATGTGGGATGGTATAGGCATGTGCTTATCCTTCCAGCCTCCTCTCCCTACCTTCTCTCCAGGCGCTCGCCCTAGTGGCCTCTCACCCCTCCGAGCCGCTACTGGATGATCTGCTGGAGAACGCGGGGGACATGTATTATGGCATGGAGATGTGGGATGAGTCGATCAAGATGTACAGACGAGCCGTCAACGTGCAGAGAGAACTGGCAGGTGTGGTTATGGCAGGGCTGGCAGGCAGGTCCGATAGGTAATGCGTGCGCGGGTGGTGTCACTTCTGAGAGCTCTCATTATATTTGGCAGGGGCGTGCGCACTAGCCGAATCTTTAACCTCCCTCACCTTCCTGTTTTTCCAGAGGGGGAGCACTACCGTGTTTTGAGTCGACTCTCAAAACACGACTACCGCCTCTGCACCGCATCTGCACCGCCTCTGCACCGCCTCTGCCTCCCTACAGTCGTTCACTGTAGGCACGAGGAGGCAGAGGCGGTGCAGTGCAGAGGCGAGCAGCCGAGGTGAATGAAATTGACTGTCACTTCCGCTCTTTCCCCACCCTTCACTCTGCCAGGTGGCGCGCACTACCTGCAGGCCTCCACCCTGTGTAGCCTCGCCAATGCATTAATGGAAGCACAGAGGCACGAGGAAGGAAGCAGAGGAGATGCAGAAGCTGTATGAGGTTGAATGCCATCACTCCCCTCAATATCTCCCTGTGCTGTTGCAGGTGGCGAGCACTACCTACAGGCGTCCACCCTGTGCAGCCTCGCCAATGCTCTAATGGAAGCACAGAGGCACGAGGAAGCGGAGGAGGTGCAGAGGCGAGCGGCAGAGCTGTATGAAGCTGCCAGGGGGGAGAGGTCCCGAGGGGTGGCGACGATGCTGGTGCGGCTGACGCAGATTCAGATGGAGGGGGGGCGAGTGGAAGAGGCGGAAGGCAGCATCCTCCGGTGAGTGATGCTCTTGGCTGGGGTTTTATCACGAGTTTATTCAAGTGCTGTGTCCCTTGGACGCACTGAAGGGAAGCAGTGCTGTGTCCCTTGGACGCACTGAAGGGAAGCAGTGCTGTGTCCCTTGGACGCACTGAAGGGAAGCAGTGCTGTGTCCCTTGGACGCACTGAAGGGAAGCAGTGCTGTGTCCCTTGGACGCACTGAAGGGAAGCAGTGCTGTGTCCCTTGGACGCACTGAAGGGAAGCAGTGCTGTGTCCCTTGGACGCACTGAAGGGAAGCAGTGCTGTGTCCCTTGGACGCACTGAAGGGAAGCAGTGCTGTGTCCCTTGGACGCACTGTGTCTTGCATTCCCCCAGTGCTGATCGGGAAGAGCTGACCCACAGTGCCTTGCATTCCCTCCTTATTTCACCCCCACTTCTCCCTTCTTCACACGCCCCCCTGCACACCAACAGCGCCAAGGATATTCTGATAGAGAAGGAGGGGCTGACATCAATGGAGGCGGCGATTGTGGAGTTCACTCTAGCTCAAGTCAGGCAGGCACAAGGTGGGTGGGCTTGTAACGGGTCTTGCTTATAACGAGTGAGGAGAGGGTGTGTAGGAGTGGGTAGGGTTGAGCAAAAAAACGAACACCAGGTATTATTTTTTGGCTTAAATTGTTCGCCGAACAGTGTTCGATGTTCGCCCGAACACGTTCGTGTTCGGGCCGCTGCTGAAATTTGCCCGCGACGAACACGAACGTGTTCGAGGTTCGCCCGAACACGCCTTCACAGGCGAACGGCGAACACCATTTTTTGCTCAAAGTGTTCGCCGAACCGAACAGTGTTCGGTTCGGCAAACGAAGGTGTTCGTGTTCGCCCCTTGCTCATCCCTAGGAGTGGGAGGAAGTGGTGCTGACGGTCGATGGAAGCAGCAATAGTGGAGTTCACTCTTGCTCAAGTCAGGCAGGCGCAAGGTTGGTCAGCGGGTGGGTTTATAGTGCATACAGCGAAACTGGCTTATAACGAGTTAAGCGTGATTGGTTGGAAAAGAAGGGCGGGGCGGGGCGGGGCCGGTGAGTGGGTAGGCTAATAACGAGTCAAATGTGATTGTTATGAGTCCCGCTTATAATGAGTACATTGAAGTTATCTTCTAACGAGGCAAGCAAGGTTGGTTGAGAAGAGGGAGAAGGAGAGGGGCTGACATCAATGGAGTGACATCAATGGAGGGACATCAATGGAGGCTGCAATGAGGCGCCTCAAAATGAGCATAGGTCCTTGAGAACAGGGAGGGAGAGGGGCTGACATCAATGGAGGCTGCAATGATTGGGTGGGCCCAAGCTCAAGGCAAGTCATTGCAGCCTCCAATGATTGGGGCCACGCCACCCTAGCTCAAGTCAGACAGGCAAACGGTGGGTGGGTGGGTGGGTGGGCTTATGAAGAGTCCTGCTTATAACAAGTGGTATAAAGAAGGATGTTCAAGAGAGGGAGAAGGAGAAGGGCTGACATCGATGGGGGCAGCTATAGTGGAGTTCACTCTCGCTCAAGTCAGACAGGCACATCCAAGGTGGGTGGGCTTTGTACGGAGTCTAGACAATAACGAGTCTAGCAGTGGGAGTGTTGGAGAGCAGTCTTCGAAGACTGGGAGGTGAGAGGCGGGTGCAGGGAGAAGACTGGGAGGAAGGGACTACGACATTTGCATTTCTCCATTGGTTCCAACCCTCCCTGGTTGGTAGTACCACAACCCCTCCCTGGTTGGTAGTACCACAACCCCTCCCTGGTTGGTAGTACCACAACCCCTCCCTGGTTGGTAGTACCACAACCCCTCCCTGGTTGGTAGTACCACAACCCCTCCCTGGTTGGTAGTACCACAACCCCTCCCTGGTTGGTAGTACCACAACCCCTCCCTGGTTGGTAGTACCACAACCCCTCCCTGGTTGGTAGTACCACAACCCCTCCCTGGTTGGTAGTACCACAACCCCTCCCTGGTTTTGAGTCGACTCAAAAGCAGTCCCCAACCCCTCCCTGATCCCCATCTTCCATTCCCCATCTCCCCAGGTCGTCCTGATCTAGCAGTGGGGGTGTTGGAGAGCGGCCTTCGGATCTTCGAACAATCGGTGGAGCAGCAGAGGAGGAAGGGCGAGGCTGGAGACGCTGCTGAGCTGGCAGGAGCAGGCGCTGAGCTGGCGTGGGGCGACGATGAGCTGGCGGGGACTCCCCGTGCGCTGGTGAACGCGCTTGGAGCGTCAGCGTTCCCGGCTTTCGAGCAGGCACAGATTGAACTGAGCATGCTATATGACATTCTGGACAGGTGAGTGCAATACAAGCAAGGGGTGTGTGTGCGTGTGCATGCGTGCGTGCGTGCGTGCGTGCGTGCGTGCATGTGTGTGTGTGCGCGCGGCATGCCCTATGAGAGGCATATACCCGGCATTCCCGGCTTTCGAGCAGGCGCAGATCGAACTGTCGATGCTATCTGGACAGGTGAGTGTGATGTATGCTGGATTGGACACGTGTGTATGTTATACGGTTGACAGCAGGCGCGGATGGAACTGAGCATGCTATATGACATTCTGGACAGGTGAGTGTGGTACACGTGAGGGGTGTGTGTGTGTGTAGATTCACAATCCTCCTTCCCCTCCCCTCCTATCCTCCACATACCATAAGGGAGAAGCTTCTTTTGCCAAGGAGCTAGCCGTCGGCCCTCTCTCCGCAGCCCTCGTCCCCCCTCTCGTCCACTGACTAACGCCTTACTTCTCCTGTCTCCTGTCCCCTTCTTTCTTCTCTTCATCCCTTCAACAGGGACGAGGACGCGTGTGCGATAAGAGATAAGCTCCTCTCAGCAAAGGAGCTAGCCGTCGGCCCTCTCTCCGCAGCCCTCGTCCCCCCTCTCGTCCACTGACTAACGCCTTACTTCTCCTGTCTCCTGTCCCCTTCTCTCTTCTCTTCATCCCTTCAACAGGGACGAGGACGCGTGTGCGATAAGAGATAAGCTCCTCTCAGCAAAGGAGCTAGCCGTCGGCCCTCTCTCCGCAGCCCTCGTCCCCCCTCTCGTCCACTGACTAACGCCTTACTTCTCCTGTCTCCTGTCCCCTTCTCTCTTCTCTTCATCCCTTCAACAGGGACGAGGACGCGTGTGCGATAAGAGATAAGCTCCTCTCAGCAAAGGAGCTAGCCGTCGGCCCTCTCTCCGCAGCCCTCGTCCCCCCTCTCGTCCACTGACTAACGCCTTACTTCTCCTGTCTCCTGTCCCCTTCTCTCTTCTCTTCATCCCTTCAACAGGGACGAGGACGCGTGTGCGATAAGAGATAAGCTCCTCTCAGCAAAGGAGCTAGCCGTCGGCCCTCTCTCCGCAGCCCTCGTCCCCCCTCTCGTCCACTGACTAACGCCTTACTTCTCCTGTCTCCTGTCCCCTTCTCTCTTCTCTTCATCCCTTCAACAGGGACGAGGACGCGTGTGCGATAAGAGATAAGCTCCTCTCAGCAAAGGAGCTAGCCGTCGGCCCTCTCTCCGCAGCCCTCGTCCCCCCTCTCGTCCACTGACTAACGCCTTACTTCTCCTGTCTCCTGTCCCCTTCTCTCTTCTCTTCATCCCTTCAACAGGGACGAGGACGCGTGTGCGATAAGAGATAAGCTCCTCTCAGCAAAGGAGCTAGCCGTCGGCCCTCTCTCCGCAGCCCTCGTCCCCCCTCTCGTCCACTGACTAACGCCTTACTTCTCCTGTCTCCTGTCCCCTTCTCTCTTCTCTTCATCCCTTCAACAGGGACGAGGACGCGTGTGCGATAAGAGATAAGCTCCTCTCAGCAAAGGAGCTAGCCGTCGGCCCTCTCTCCGCAGCCCTCGTCCCCCCTCTCGTCCACTGACTAACGCCTTACTTCTCCTGTCTCCTGTCCCCTTCTCTCTTCTCTTCATCCCTTCAACAGGGACGAGGACGCGTGTGCGATAAGAGATAAGCTCCTCTCAGCAAAGGAGCTAGCCGTCGGCCCTCTCTCCGCAGCCCTCGTCCCCCCTCTCGTCCACTGACTAACGCCTTACTTCTCCTGTCTCCTGTCCCCTTCTCTCTTCTCTTCATCCCTTCAACAGGGACGAGGACGCGTGTGCGATAAGAGATAAGCTCCTCTCAGCAAAGGAGCTAGCCGTCGGCCCTCTCTCCGCAGCCCTCGTCCCCCCTCTCGTCCACTGACTAACGCCTTACTTCTCCTGTCTCCTGTCCCCTTCTCTCTTCTCTTCATCCCTTCAACAGGGACGAGGACGCGTGTGCGATAAGAGATAAGCTCCTCTCAGCAAAGGAGCTAGCCGTCGGCCCTCTCTCCGCAGCCCTCGTCCCCCCTCTCGTCCACTGACTAACGCCTTACTTCTCCTGTCTCCTGTCCCCTTCTCTCTTCTCTTCATCCCTTCAACAGGGACGAGGACGCGTGTGCGATAAGAGATAAGCTCCTCTCAGCAAAGGAGCTAGCCGTCGGCCCTCTCTCCGCAGCCCTCGTCCCCCCTCTCGTCCACTGACTAACGCCTTACTTCTCCTGTCTCCTGTCCCCTTCTCTCTTCTCTTCATCCCTTCAACAGGGACGAGGACGCGTGTGCGATAAGAGATAAGCTCCTCTCAGCAAAGGAGCTAGCCGTCGGCCCTCTCTCCGCAGCCCTCGTCCCCCCTCTCGTCCACTGACTAACGCCTTACTTCTCCTGTCTCCTGTCCCCTTCTCTCTTCTCTTCATCCCTTCAACAGGGACGAGGACGCGTGTGCAATAAGAGATAAGCTCCTCTCAGCAAAGGAGCTAGCCGTCGGCCCTCTCTCCGCAGCCCTCATCCCCCCTCTCGTCCACTGACTAACGCCTTACTTCTCCTGTCTCCTGTCCCCTTCTCTCTTCTCTTCATCCCTTCAACAGGGACGAGGACGTGTGTGCGATAAGAGATAAGCTCCTCTCAGCAAAGGAGCTAGCCGTCGGCCCTCTCTCCGCAGCCCTCGTCCCCCCCCTCATCCACCTCGCCCAATCCCGCTCAACTCACTTCTCCACTCTCTCCCCACTTCTCTTCTCTCCTCTCCTCTCTTCATCTCTCCACCAGGGATGAAGACGCGTGTGCCTTAAGAGAGAAGCTCCTCTCAGCCAAGGAGCTAGCCGTGGGATGGGACCCCTCTCTCCAGGGCTCGGCTCGACCCCCCCCTCATCCAACTCGCCCAATTCCATGCCCACTTCTTCCCTTCCTCTCTTATATCCATGCAGGGACGAGGACGCGTGTGCCATAAGGGAAAAGCTCCTCTCAGCCAAGGAGCTAGCCGTTGGCCCTCTCTCTCCGGCCCTCGTCCCCCCCCTCATCCAACTCGCGCAGTCCCGCCTGACCATCGGCCAATCAGAGGGCGCGGAGCGGCTCCTGCGCCGCGCGCTGCAGATCGCCAGGTCAGCGGTGCCAGCTGACGACGCGCGGTTGGCCGTGCCGATCGAGCGCCTGGCGCTGTGCCTGGCTCAGATGGAGCGATTCGAGGAGGCTGAGGTGCTGGCGCGGGAGCATCTGATGATTGCAGAGACATCTGTGGAAAAGGCGGGATTGCAGGGAGACACGATTGAAATGCTAGGTAAGAGTCTGGTTTGTGGCCCAGATGGAGGTTAGAGCGCCCAGAGCTGTGCCTGGCTCAGATGGAGCGATTCGAGGAGGCTGAGGTGCTGGCGCGGGAGCACCTGATGATTGCTGAGGGGGCCGTGGAGAAGGCTGGACTGCGCGGGGATACAGTGGAGATGCTAGGTAAGCACCCTTTTTTCGTTTGACTTAATTTGACTTTGGTTGACTTGAGTTGAGTTGACTGGGATAGAGGGTAGAATGTCGGGTTCTGCGTCTACAGCTGTGCCTGCCTGGCTCTGATGGAGCGATTCGAGGAGGCTGAGGCGCTGGCGAGGGAGCACCTGATGATTGCTGAGGGGGTTGTGGAGAAATCAAGATTGAGAGGAGACACGGTGGAGATGCTAGGCAAGACTCTTGCTTAACTTTGGTTGACTAGCGTTGACTGGGATAGAGGGTAGAGCGCCTAGAGCTATGTGTGGCGCAGATGGAGCGGTTTGAGGAGGCTGAGGGGCTGGCGAGGGAGCACGTGATGATCGCTGAGGCCTGGAACCTCAAAAAGGGGAGTGACTGGCTCTGTGGTAGAGAGATAGAGGGTAGAGCGCCTAGAGCTGTGCCTGGCCCAGATGGAGCGGTTTGAGGAGTCCGAGGGGCTGGCAAGGGAGCACCTGAAGATACAGTGCAGAAGGCGGGAGTGCGCGGGGATACAGTGGTGATGCTAGGTAAGCACCTGCTTTGGTTCCTATCCCTACCGTTCCCCCACTTCCATCCTTTCCCCCCCCCTGTCTTACCCTCCCCTCCCCCCCAGCACAAGCCCAGCGCAACCCGGCGCTCATACTCATGGCCACAGGCCGGGCACAGGCAGCAGAGCTTGGCCGTCCCGCATCCACCTACCCACGCACCTCTTCCCTTTTTTGCACCCACCTGCTCTCGCCCCTGTATCCCCCCAGCGCAGCCTGGTGCTCATCCTCATGGCTGCAGGGCAGGCAGAGGCAGCAGAGCTGGCCCCGTTCTCCCCAACCCATCCTCCCATCCCCCATGCACTGCACTGTCTCTCCTCCTGTCTCTCCCCCATCTCCCCGTGCTTGTTTTTCTCCCCAACTCCCCCCTCCCCTTCCCCCCAGCGCAAGCCCAGCGCAACCTGGCACTCATACTCATGGCAACAGGGAGGGCAGAGGCAGCGGAGCTGTTACTGAGGAAGGCTTTAGCGAGGATGGAAGGAGCAGTGGGGCCCATGGGGGATGCAGCGCTGGTGATTGCTGGGTCTCTGGTGGTGAATCTGCAGCAGCAGGGGAGGGACGATGAGGCTGAACCGTTGCTCAAGAGATTGGCCCTTGCAGAAGCTGCGGCTACTGGGAATTTGTGACGAGGTAACTTGTAACGAGTTGGCTTGTAATGAGGATGAGATGGAAAGGCAGGGTTGTGGTCATTGCAGGGTCTCTGGTGGTGAATCTGCAGCAGCAGGGGAGGGAGGGAGGATGAAGCTGAGCTGCGCTGCTCAAGAGGGTAGCTCTTGCCGAGGCTGCGGCTATGGGGAATTTGTAAAAGAGGCTGTAAGAAACAAGAGTGGTACAAAACGTTAGTGCATATTCAGGCTGTGATCCGCCCCCTTTTAGCTCAACAATGTTTGCAAAGCGATTGTCATTCTAGTCAGCATGTTTTCCTCATGTCATTTTCTCTTAGATGTGGGTTCCAACACGGAGAGTGGACTGGCTATGCAACTATCAATATAGTGACAAGGTTTTCTTATGTTTTTGTTTTTAGATGAGTTCCAATACGGAGTGCTTATTAATTCAATTTCTGATTGCGAAGCACTCCAGTCGAGTCATGCCGCGATTTCTTCCACGCCTCCATCTGTCACTCCGCTACTTCCGGCCATCCCACCCTCTCTCCAGCTTGATTTTCCCGTCAGAGCGAATCCCGACGTACGACGTAGGGCTGCTTGCGAATCCCGAGTGATGACGTAGCGGCTGTTTGTCCGAGGTTACTATAGACTCGTCTTAGAAGTCGCGGCTAATTGCACCAGGAGTGTTCGTTATCCCTCACCACGACTGCACACCCAGTCTGGTCCTCCATAATACTGCTATACCGTTCCAACGCCCAGTTATCCGTTCCCCGTTTTTATCAGTATTCCCAATAGTAACGCGGCAGGGGAGGCGATCGTTACACTCCTCTCCATCCGCCTCTTCTCTCCTTTGCGCCGATTCACTCCCGACTCGGCGGAAGCTCTCTTCGATCCGGCGAATGCGTATGGAGGGTCATATGGCTGGCGCGCAGATCGAGGATCCTTGCATTAGCCGGACCTCTCTGTTCCCCTCCGTTTCCCCCTCCGCTCCCCCCTCTTCTCCTCCCTCCGCTTCCCCCTCCGCCTCCCCCTCCGCCTTCCCCCTGGACGACAGCACGCTGTACCGCGTTCTCCGCTGCCTTTCCGCGCGCGAGCTCGCGCGGGCGGCGTGTGTGAGCGCGCAGTGGCGCGCCGTGTCGCGCGACGAGAGCCTCTGGGCGGCGCTCGCGCGGGAGATGTGGCCCTCGTTGCAGTCACGCCGCGGACAGTCACTTGCGCTGATTGATCCGCCGAGTAAACCCCGACCGAAGGCGTATCAGCATCAGCAGACGCAGTTACCACAACAGCAGCAGCAGCTGCTGCAGAAGCCGCAACAAGAGCAGCAGCAGCAGCAGCAGCTAAGGATTATTCCTTGCAGCAGCAGAACCATCTCTTCCCACTCCTCTATCTCTGTATCTACCTCCCAAACTGTCACCAGTGCAGAAACCTGCACTGTCTATCCTTCAAAAGATTCCACTGCTCTTGAACACCATTCCGAGGAGCATTTTCACCCCTCCATCAACATTCAATCAAATTCCTCATTACAAGGAAACGCGTTAAAACAGCTGTCATTGGATGAACACTCGTCTGAAGCACATTCGTTCCGCACGTTCGCTTATCGCCGGCTCAGCTGTGGCCCTCCTCGCCCCGCAATCTCCCCCCTCTCCTTCCCCTCCCTCACCTTCTTCCTTGACGTCTCCCACCACGGCCAATCACGGCTATCCATGGCTCTCCAGCAGAAAGATCTGATCCTGTCAGAGACTGCTGACTTGGGAGATTTCGATTTTGTTGTCAAGAACCTGAACGCTGCGCATGAGGACAGCCCCTTGTGGCGGCCACACCCTGATTCTACCACTTCCTCCTTTTCCCCCTCTTCCTCCTCTTCCTCCTCTTCCTCCTCTTCCACCTCTTTCACTCCACTCACCCTTCCAGATTCAGTTGCCACCTCTTCCGCCTCCTCGTCCTCTTCCTCCTCCTCGTCCTCTTCCTCCAGTCTCTTGGCAACCACTGCTAACCCCTCCATTCCCCCTGCTTCCCCCACTTTCTTATCCGACTATCACAAGATGTCTCACATGGCAATGCAAGGCCCGGACCGGCCGTCTGCTTATGCGCAGGAGCTCTCTGCGCAGCTGCATGTGCAGAGGCCGTCAGATGGGCGCATGGTGCAGCTGGTCAGCTGCCAGCCTCAGTACCAAGCAGATGATCTAGGTCTGTTGGTGTTTTGTTCCATCTTGCCTGCACTGGTGTTTGGAACAGGGCTTTTGGCTGAAGTTGACTTGGAATATAGGGCGATCATTAGAGGAGGGGGTTCGGGGAGAAGACAGGGTAGCAGGGAATGCATTGGTGGTGACGATGAAAATGTGGTGAGGGAGGATGAGGATGAGGTGAGGTGGGAGCTGCGTGGTTGCCGGTTGTGCATAAAGCGAAGCGAGTCTTTTTGTGTGGCCACTTGCAGCCAGTTTGCTGAATACCTTGGTTATTTACAATGGATATGATGAATTCCAGTAGTTATATTTCCTTATGGATAAGAGTGTCTGCTTATTATACATTTGTTTTTGCTTAATTTTGCGAAGGTGCTCAATAAGGACTTCGCGAGGGCAATAAGGAGAACAGGTGACTAGGTGGCCACGTGGCTTGTGAGAGTTTAGAATTGACCAATCATGCTGCTCTGTTCAGGCCCTGATGGCAAAAGCAAGACAGAAGTGACGTGGCGCGCAGGGGTCTGCCATTTGTCCGTGACATCTCCCAATTTTCCGAAGCTGCTTCAGGATCACGACAAACCCGCAAGAAACAAGGATCTAGCCGTCCATTATCCGTCTATCGAGTTTAACCGTTCGATGACCGCCTCGATGTCGTCACCTCTTTGCGTTGTCTACGTTCCACGCAATACAATGCACCCGCCAACAATGCCATCACATGGGCTGGCACTTTCACATCATGTGGTCCGCTGAACTCGTCTCATGGTCGGAGACTCGGAGCTACTGCGCACGGCGACCGCAGCGCTGAAGAAGCGCGCAAGACGACACCTTCCTCCGCCCACCATTCTAGAATGACCGCAAAGCCGATCAGACTCGGTGCGCAACTCCCCAGCGCCCCCCCTTCGTACAGAATTCTCCCTTGATCCCACGCTTTTCTGCTGGTCCGCAGGTCGCTAGTTCTCCGCTGAGTTCTCTTCCTATCTTGGCGAGTCAGAATGCCTCAAAACCCTACAACCGCTTCCCAACGTTGTAAATCTAAAACCAACCGTTTCAGAACGCAAAACAGCGGTCTCATGAGTGCAGTCTTGATTTCATCCGTCTGGACTCGACTCGAACCCAATCCAACCACAATCTCAGGGATGGAGAAGCTGCCTGAAGGAAGGGGAGCTACAAATGCAAACCCTAGCATTTCAACTTCTGTCTTTCAACCTTCAGTGCTTGTTTCCACCTGAAACTAATTACAAAATGGAGGAAAGTAATTGACTAGCACGGGTCCTCAACGCCATTACCTCCCCTATTTTCATGCTATCTTCTCCCTTCCGCAACCGTGATTTTTGCTGGCAAATGATTTTGGATTCTCCGAACAACAACCCCATTCCGAGGGGTACTAAAGAATATGCTCGCTGCTCGAGCCCTCCGCTGCCTGCTCCTGCGCCTGGGAAGAGTGTGCAACAGGAGGGATCCAAATATGCTGCTGGTGGTGGTGTGAGCTTCGCATTAGCACTGGACATATTTGGGACCACCGTAGAAGCCGTTCAGGAATCATCCAGTACTTCCGGTGCCATTAGCAGCGGTTCGGTTGATATCTCTAGGCAGCTTGAAGATGGGTGGATTGGAAATCCTAGTGGATCGGTCAAAGAAGGAGCTGAGGAGACAACCAGTAACAGGTAGGTTGACTTGAGGAGTGAGAAGTTGTCAATAGTTCTATTATTCGAATATTGGTTGCACTTGCCAATTCATGCTAACGTCTTGTTTTAATTTTCTCTCTCTTCTCTTTCTCTTCAGCGAACATGTCAGTCGGACAACGGAGTTGCCAAGTGGGGTGGATAACGTAGAGGTAGAGAACTGCCTTGTCAGTGCGACTACTGACACCTCTGAGGATGAAAATGGTGCGACCACTGCTTCCGCTAGCACGCAAATCTCTGCTGATGCACCACATGGTGCTGCCAATGACATCGCCGCTGGTTGCGACCAAGTCTGCGCAGAGAAGGTATTTATCGGTCGTCGTTGGGGTCACAACTTGCCTAGCTTGTCTCTCTCCCCGCCTTTCTGTGTTTTCCCCAACTTAACCTTTCTCTGTATTTTACGCTTGTTTTGCTGTTCAGGCTGCTCAGCTCAAGCCAGCCCTCAAGGGATCGTCGCCGCGTCCCTCGGGGCTTCGCGTCAAGTGGGCTGCTGACGTGTACGATCCGATTCCGAGCCTCATCTCCCACACTGTTGGGAGGCGCAACCAACGCAAGATTTATTCCAGGAGGCAGCGGAATGAACACGCCGGGAAGGGGAAGCATGGAAAGGGTTCCAAGAGCAGCAAGTCATCCAAGAAATCTTCCAAGGAGAATGTTTCGGAGAAGGTGCCGGCTCGGGAGGCGGAAAAACCACCTGCTAGCTGTCCCGCATCAAGCAGCCAGGACAAGCTTTGTGAATCGACAGGAGAACGCGCAAATGTTCAGGACGTCGTTAAGGAGGATGCCGAGACTGCAGTAGTGGAAAAGAAAGACGAGTCGTTAGACGACGATGGGTGGTCTATCGTTGTTCCCAAGTCTCATGGTCGTCGATCAGGTCTCGGAGCTCACTCGCCGTCTTCCAGCCCTCCTCTGGCCAGCTGCAGCCCGCCAAAGAAAGAGTTCGCTCTTGCTTCGATAGAAAGCCTCGAGACAACATGCATCACTGTCTTGGATGCAGAGGAGTGCCCGCCTTCGTCCAGTAAACCTGACGGTGTTTCGCTGTTTGTTAAGGTACGTAAGAGTGTGGTTCTTCTTTCGTTCATCTCAGCACTCAATTCTCTCTTCGCCGTGGACTTCGATCTGACCCTCGTTTTTCATTTTCCGTGCCTTGTATCTTTCAGGTTGGCAGTTCAGGTTTGGAGGAGGACAACCAGCTGTTTTCTCCTGAGAGCACTTTGGAAAATCCGGTCTTCACGTAAGTAATATTCGTGGCAGGTAGTACATGGCATTTGTCTGCATAAATTTGTGTGCAAATATGTATGTCGAATGTTACATACTTCGAACTTACTAGTCCTTCCTATCTCTCCAGCTCCAGAGAGGGCTCCCCTGAGCTTTCTTCCAGTCCACCTGCTTCAATCAATCTTCTGGAGCGGGCTGGAACTTCGGTCTTCATTCAAGAGCATCAGTCAGATGTCAAGCAGAGGTCTAGCACGCACAAGTCAAGTTCGCTCCTTGCCAAGGTCTCCATGGAGCGGCTGGCTGGTGCCACAGCTCTCGCACATGGGAAGGTGCAGGAGGGTAGGCGGCTGATTTTCAGTGCATACATGTCTGCTCGGAAGCATGGAATGAAGGGTGAAGTGGCTCGCTGCCTCAGGTATGCAGATCTTAGTTTTGGTGTTGTGTATCGGCGTAGTTGGCCTTCTTGTTCGAATCTGAATGGTTCTCTTTTTTATTGTGTTCAGGCTGATTGCAGACACCCAGACGGGCCAAGATCGGCTCAGTAGTTTGAATGCTGCAGTTGAAGGGCTTGCCGTGGCTGGTGTGCCATTTGAACATGCTGAAGCTCTACTGTGTCTTGCACAAGCTGAGGTGTGTACTGATTTTCTCCATTTCTGCTCACATAAATGTCTGAGTCTGATGAGCTGACCTTATGCTACTTTTTACACATTTTGCAGGTCCAAGAATCGATCAGTCTCTCAGGGTTTGCATACACAAGCATTGACGTAGTGGCTTCGCTCGAGAAGCTGAGCTATAGCCTTGAAGTGCCACAGCAGAATGCACGCTTGATGAAGGCCAAGTCTCACCTCAGGACTGCTGCTGGCCTGCTAATGACTGAGCTTTCATCTTCCAAGTATCGCTCTTGCTCCAAGAGCGTCATGAGCCAGTATAACTCTCCTACCGGGAGAAGGAAGAGCAGCAGCAGTTCCAAGAAATCCAAGAAGCCTGATTTGTTGGAAGAGGAGAGGTCCACGCTGTCGGGTCTATTGGGAAGTGTTCATGAGCTGACTGGGAAGGTGGGGATTCTGATGCAGCAGTTGGATGATGCCAACGTTGCCCTGCATGCTGCCGCCTCAAATGAGGACTGGCGCAAAGGCAGTCGGGAAGAGGCTGCTCAGGTTGATGGATTATTGAAGCACCTTCTTGCTGGAAAGTTCTCTAGCAGGACTGTTGCTGCTTGATTTTTAACTTGTTAGTCTGACTCTGGCTGTACAGTATTCTGCTTGAGGCAGATAGTGTATTTAGATGCTCTTAAATATGCATGTGCTAGGTCAGTGAAGTAGTACGGATTCTTCATAATCCATGGAGGAAATGGTGGAAGTCATTTTTGCACTAGATATCTCGTTCTGTCTGGCAAACTAGGACGGTTGAATTTATGCCGCATACCTTCAATCACATTCTTTACAGTCCATAAGGAGGAAGCGGCAGGAATTATATGGCACTGGACACGCACATCGAACTAGTCCTGCCACCTCGTGTGTCAGCATAACCTGAGTGCCTATCGTCGTAGCGCAACCTCTTTCCGCAAATCTTGTTTGCTTTACTGCTTTTGGCAAGCGGTACAATCTCGTTTCAGGCCACAGATTCCGATAAAGTCTTCGCAGACTGGTGAAGGCCACGCTGACCGTCAACAGCTTCGCACACCGTTCACCGCTACGCAGATAGTCAACGTTTACGTAGACCGTCGAAGTTTACACAGTCCGTCTCTTAAATCGCCTACGACGGCACGGGCCGCCATGCTGGGAAACATAGCGCAGCGAATCCAAGACGCCTTTTTCCAGAGCCTGGAGCAGGCCGGATGCGTGAGCCTGGACACATATGGTCCTGCGTCTTCCGACGAGGAATATGACGAAGACGATGACGAGGACGGTGACGAGCCTCGCAGCGCCGAATCCGCCGCTATGACTCCCACAGGACTTGTCGGATTCGGGAGCTTTTTACGGAATAACCCGCGGACGGATAGGTTTAAGGTGGACCGGTTTCACCATATCGAGTTCTGGTGCGGAGATGCTACTAACACGTACGGACGGTTTTCGTGGGGACTGGGGCTGCCGGTCGTCGCGAAGTCGGACCAGACGACGGGTAACCACACGTTCTGCAGTTTCGTGCTGAAAGCGGAGGACCTGGCGCTGGTGTTCACGGCGCCGTATTCCGAAGCAGCAGCTATAACGCGTACAGAACCTCTGGGGGAAGTAGTTGGGGAGACTGGACGCTCCAGAAATTCCCGAGTTCCTTTCCCAGGATTTTCACCACGGGCTGCCCGTGAATTTTCCGCGCTGCATGGATTGGGAGTCAGGGCAATCGGAGTGAGAGTGGAGGATGTTGAAGCTGCGTACCAAACGAGTGTAAATAACGGAGCTATTTCCATTTGCCCTCCCGTTACTGTCACAGACATCAAACCAAACGGTCAGGGAGGCAGTGTGACTATAGCGGAGGTGACTCTATACGGCGACACGGTCCTACGGTTTGTGAACCCGAAATCGTTCTCAGGACCGTTTCTCCCCGCCTTTGAGGCGGCGTCGAACCAAGTGATGAGCTACGGGATTTTCAGGGTCGACCATGTGGTTGGGAACGTGCCGAACCTGGCGGATGTGGTTCGGTATGTCAAGGGATTCTCAGGGTTTCACGAGTTTACAGATTCGTGTGCTTCAGGGAACGCAGGAGGGGAAGCAGGAAAGGGAGCAGGGGCAGGGAGAGGAGTGGGAGAAGGAACAGCTGGTTTCGGTGCTGCTGCTGGTGCTGCTGGTATTTCTGGTGGTGCTGGTGCTGCTAGTGCTGGTTCTGGTAACGTTGCTGTTACTCCTAAGAAGAAATCCGGTGGTGCTGACGTGGACCCCACTGGCCTCGGTGTGAACAGTACTGTACTCGCTAATGACTGGGAGACAGTCATCCTCCCTATAATGGAACCCTCGCCTGGCCTCCCTTACAAGATGCAGGTCGAAACCTTCCTGGAGCACTATAACGGGGCAGGAGTGCAGCACATCGCACTAATGTGCACAGACATTGTTAAGGCTGTTAAAGAGATGAAGGCTAGGAGCGAAATGGGGGGGTTTGCGTTCCTGCCCAGGCCGTCGGTTAAGTACTATAGGGAGCTGTCGTCGAGGGTGGGGAGTTTAATCACTGAGGAGGAGATGGAGGAGTATGAGGAGTTGGGGATTCTGGTGGATGTGGATGCTGGGGGGGTGCTGCTTCAGATATTCACTGCTCCCATTGGGGACAGGTGAGAGTGGAAGTGTGTGTGTGTTTATGATAGACCTTTCCATGTGTTGAAAGGTGAGGAGGAGATGGGGGAGTATGAGGAGTTGGGGATTCTCGTGGATGTGGATGCTGGGGGAGTGCTGCTTCAGATCTTCACTGCTCCTATCAGGGACAGGTGAGAGTGGTTGGGTTGGAAGCGCTTGGGAGAGTTTGTCAGTGGTCTTGTGCGTGGCTAGCCTTTCTATCTGCTGAAAGGCGAGGAGGAGATGGAGGAGTATGAGGAGTTGGGTTGGGGGTTCTGGTGGATGTGGATGCTGGGGGGAGTGCTGCTTCAAATCCTCACTGCTCCGATTCGGGACAGGTCAGAGGGGAAATGTGTGCCTTTTTTTCACACTTTTCCATCTGTTAGAAGGTTAGGAGATGGGGGGGTAGGAGGAGTTGGGAATCCTCGTGGATGCGGATGCTGGGGGAGTGCTGCTTCAAATTCTCGCTGCTTCCATTGGGGACAGGTCAGAGGGGAAATGTGTGCGTTTTTCTATCACTTTTCTATCTGTTACAAGGTTAGATGGGGGAGTATGAGGAGTTGGGGATTCTCGTGGATGCTGGGGGAGTGCTGCTGCAGATCTTCACTGCTCCTATCGGGGACAGGTGAGAGATCCAATCATCCCAGTCCTTTCCCCCTCTCCCCAACCACCATTCCTCCTTTCCCTCGCCGCAGGCAGGCCCACCGTGTTCGTTCAGATTCGTCAAGGGGTGGTGGGAGTGAAGAGAAGGGTGTCAAGGCCGTTCCTAGTCATTGCCATGTTTCCTCCCTCCCTGCCCTCTTCCCCTCCCTCCCACAGGCCCACCGTGTTCATTGCGATTCTACAAGGGGTGGTGGGAGTGAGGAAGAAGGCCCCAAGGCCGTACCCACCCTTGGATCATCCCATTCCTCCACATGTCTCTTCCGTCCTTTCTCTCCTTCACCTTTACCTGCCCTCAGGCCCACGGTCTTCATTGAGATTCTTCAGAGGGGGGAGTGAAGAAGGGCCTTCAAGCCGTTCCTGTGCAGCAGTTCCCCACCCATCATCCCATTTCCTGACATGTTTCCTCCCTCCCTCCTCCCTCCTCCCTCCATCCCCTCCTCTTTCCCGTCCCACAGGCGCACGCTGTTCATTGAGATTTCGTCAGAGGTTGGGAATCAGTTCCCTCAACTTCCCTACAGCACTTTTACCACTTATTATTCCAGTTTCTGACACGTGTCTCTTATCCCTCCCTTCCCCACCCCCCTCCCGTCCCACAGGCCCACGGTCTTCATTGAGATTCTTCAGAGGGTGGGAGTGAAGAAGGGTCTTCAAGCCGTTCCCATGCAGCAGTTTCCTCGTGGGGGGTGTGGTGGGTTCGGCACAGGAAACCTGCTGGAGCTCTTCCGATCGTTAGACACGGTTCAGACACCTTCCAAGGTGTACCTGTGATTTTAAGAGGAAAGTGGGGGTTTGGATTGTTCGGCACAGGAAATCTGCTGGAGCTCTTCCGATCGTTAGACACGGTTCAGACACCTTCCAGGGTGTATTCATTATGTGCAGTTGGAAGGGAGGCGTGGTGGGCTTGGCACAGGGAAGGGGACCTGTTGTAGCTCGTCCGGTCACTAGACGTCGTTCAGACGCCAACCAAGGCATATCCGTGACTTGTAAAACAGTGCTACTTTGGAAAGAAGGTTATTGACGAGGAAGGTGGTGTGGAAGGTTCCGTCTAGCACGGGCAACATGTTGAGCTGATTCGGTGACCAGATGTCGTCTGGATGACAGGGGAGCCATATTTCTGACTTGTGGCTGCAGCTACAGTGGGTGGGAAGGTGTTATGATGAGGAAGGTGGTGTGGAAGGTTCCGTCTAGCACGGGCGTCGGGCAACCTGTTGAGCTGATTCGGTGACTAGATGTCGTCTGGATGACAGGGGAGCCATATTTCTGACTTCTGGCTGCAGCTACAGTGGGTGGGAAGGTGTTATGGAAGGTGGTGTGGAGGGTCCGTCTAGCACGGGCGTCGGGCAACCTGTTGAGCTGATTCGGTGACTAGATGTCGTCTGGATGACAGGGGAGCCATATTTCTGACTTGTGGCTGCAGCTACAGTGGGTGGGAAGGTGTTATGGAAGGTGGTGTGGAGGGTTCCGTCTAGCACGGGCGTCGGGCAACCTGTTGAGCTGATTCGGTGACTAGATGTCGTCTGGATGACAGGGGAGCCATATTTCTGACTTGTGGCTGCAGCTACAGTGGGTGGGAAGGTGTTATGATGAGGAAGGTGGTGTGGAGGGTTCCATCTAGCACGGGCAACATGTTGAGCTGATTCGGTGATAAGATGCCGTCTGGATGACAGGGGAGCCATATGTGTGACTTGTGGCTGGAGCTACAGTGGGTGGGAAGGAAGGTGTTATGATGATCGACGGGGGTCTGGAGGGTTTTGTCTGGCACGGGTTACTTGTTGAGCTGTTTCGGTCAGTAGACATCGTCCAGTGGCCAACTAAGCTCCACTACAGTCGTCCTCATGACTTGTAGAAGGTGGAAAGAGCCGGAAGGGGCAATAAAGCGACAATGGGTGGGTAGGTACCGTAGGTTGATGACGAAAGGGGTGTGGAGGGAGTTGGTGACCATGGCTTTTTACAGGGCCTCTTCTTTTTACTGGTAGATTGGGACTGTTTCTTGTGGAGGGATGGCGGTGGTGGTGGTATCTTTGATAAGAGGATAATGCTGGTCAAGAGGTTGAGCATGCGTGTAGCTGTGACTTGTGGCTTTGTATCGGCTCTGTAGCATCTGCTAAACCGCATAACTTCCATTCGTTTTGAATGCACTAAGGTGTCTTGAGATACTTCAATGTGAGCTGCAGGCAGCATTACAGATACGGTATCCGAGTGGGCATATGTATGATTAGTCTAAGCTGCTGCTGTGACCCCCGACAAGCTTGATACCATCTATCGTACCAGTAAGCGGTTACGAGGTAGGGGCCAGGGGCCAGGGCATAGGTAAGGGGGTGATGACGGGAAAGACTAAGTTACTGCTTATAGGTGAAGATGAGTGGGTTGAAGGGATAGGAGGATCAGGGTGTAGGAAGGGAGAGTGTAGGATATTTAAAGGGAAGGTGATGGTGCTGACAGGGCTATTGCTGACAGGTGTGACGACTTGGACTAAGGGATACCGTATTCTCCCTCATAAAACACCCCCCCGTAATTGTACACCCCCGGGTAGCTAATACGGGGTGGGTGTTATATCCGACCCCGTTTGTACTATACCCCCCCTTTCGGGGTGATTTTCTATAACACCCCCCTTTTCTTATAGATTCATATTATAGCTGTTATCGAGTCCGATTCCTTACGGGAAGATATCGCGAGAATTGCTCCCTAGGTGAAATTGTTGGAAACAATCGGTCCTAAGCGCCTCTGTCGTGTCGAAACATTAAGGCACAAGCGAAACAAAGCATATCGAGGAACCAGTGAGTCAACCCTCGGAGGTTGAAGTAACCGCTGGAGGTTACGCGAAAGTCAAAGGTCAGTGACCTTTGACCTGACAAGTACAGCGCGACAGCAAGGACACACAACTGACTCGTTACAGAGCAGTTGCCCGAGTCGTCACTCTATCGAACCGCAACAGCAACAGTAAAGTAGTTATAACAGTGTCTTTTCATATTCCCTGTATTCATATATAATCTTGTATCTCCTTGTTTTAATCAACTTACTTTGCTCTCACATACTAGCGCAAGGTGGTTCACAACACTTTATTTACGCTTCCGTTATTACACCAACTGTACCCAGAGTTCACCCCTGCAAAGATCCTAAGGGCATTTTTCAGCCCTACATGGTATGAGAGCTATCAGGGGGAATTCAACTTCTATACCAACAGCATCAATCAGCATGGCTACACAAAAAGAAAGGAGCAACTCCAACGGCTCCCAGGGAACTACTCCTACTCCACCTCCTGCCTCTGGCTTACAGATTGAGGAGGGCACGGCAGCAAGACCCAGAGGAACATCTACCGAGACTCCCGCGAATCAACCTGCAGACTTCGACCAGAGCATGATGGAAAAGTTTTTCTCCTTCATGTCCTTCTACGAGCAACACCAGCAATCATCACCTGCGCAGTCACACAACAGCAACAACAACGGAGCAACACCCATGAGTCTCGACGGCTCATCATATGCACGAGGAAATCAACAACAGCAGCCTACCTTTGCTCCGTACGAGCGCGGGTCCATCAGCTTCATGCCACACCCACAGCCCTCACCTGGACAATAAAAACCACTGGACGCATTGCAAGTTCAGTCGCAGTTCGCTCACGTTCTGAAGATGCAGACGTCAAGACCCTTCGATGGAAAGGACTTCTTCACCTGGTCGTTCGAGTTCGAGCTGATGATGGAAGGCGCGCAGATACTCGGGTTCTTCGACGGGTCTCTGCCATACCCAAAAAACGGCACACAGTACGAGAAGCAGCAGTACACCTATCAGTCAATGATGGCGTATACGATCCTACTGAGGAACATCACCCCGACTCAACAGCAGAACATAAGGACTTACCGAGGTTACGGCAACTCCGCGGAGCTCGCGTACAACCACCTGAAGAGCCTGTATCAAGCAACAGACAGCGTAAGTCAAAGTCGGTTAATGGCGCAACTGACAACGGTTGAAATGAAACCAGGGGAGAAAGGAATGGCGTATATCAGTCGATGTCGCGAGTTGCGCGACAAGCTTCTTCGATGCGGAGGGTCGATCTCTGAAGACGCCTTCGTGACAGTCATCATCGGCGGCCTCAGTCCTCAATGGCGCGCCACAAAGGCTATCCTCCGAGCTCACGGAAGAATCTCCGAAGCAGCGCTCTGCGCCGAAATCCACGCCGAGCAACAAGATATGGACCTGCAAGAAGAGCGACACAAAAAGAAGACATCAGCACCGGAATTCGCGCTCCACACTCAGCGACGCTACAACAACAACAACAACTGGCAGCAACAACCGAAGCCAGTACCTCCGTTCTGCCACATCTGCAAAACTTCAGGACACCCGCGTACACACTGCCCGAATCGTCAACAGTCAACAACCCCACAGCGGCAACTTCGACCTTCAAGCAGCCAAATCGCCCCAACGCAAGTAAATCTCACGACTCAGATTCAAGCTTCAACGACCTCAACAGGACAACCTGCACAAGGAGCAAGAAACATCGTCAGCTGCATGGCAAAGCTGACAGACTCCTGCATCACCGAGTCACCACCACACTACTCACCGGAAGAACAACTCGACGAAACCACACCCCGCCGCGAGTCACTTCAGCCGAACCCGACATACGCCGTCATCGCCCAAAGCGAACCATCCGGAAGGGACACATGGTTCTTGGACAGTTGCTGCGGACAGCACATGTGCTCCTCGAGATGCTTCGTTCAACGAGAACACCAACTTCAACGCGAAGTTGTCATTACAGTCGCCAACAATCAGAACCTGCGAACACGACGACAAGGCGTAGTTCAACTTCAGTCAAGGGAAACAAACGTTATACTGCAAATGTCAAAAGTACAAATCGCGGAGGGACTCGGCTACAACTTACTGAGCGTCAGTCAGCTAATGGCGAAGGGGATTCACCTCGAAGCAGACAGCACCACCCAAGAATTCAAGCTGTATCACGGGAGAGGAGGATTTTACATCGGCAAGGCGGTCCTCAAGAACAACGTCTTCGTTCTTGATTTCGTTCCTGACCTTGGCACCGCCGACAGCGACGTCATCGTCAACTTCACCAACTGGAAACACCCTCCAGACCTTGATCCAGACTTCAGTCCAGAAGGCTTCTTGTATTCACACACCATCCCCGAAGCAGAAAGAACAAGGGCGTTAGCAACAATTCAGACAACATCGGCAGCAGCAGAGACAACATTGGCAGGAGCAGAGACAACATCGGCAGCAGCAGAGACAACATCGGCAGCAGCAGAGACAACATCGGCAGCAGCAGAGACAACATTGTCAGTAGCAGAACCATCAACGGCAGCAGCAGGAACGTCAACACCAATTGCTGGTCCTTCAACGACACCGCTCCTCATCGACGACACACCACCAACACCCGCGCAACAACTACACCCAGCACCACGAGAAGTTCATCGTAACGCCAACTTCACCGCCAACTTCTACTCCAACTCCGATATGTACCGACGATCACCCGGACATCGCGCCGACGAATGCACCTGGCACGCAAGGATGGGACACCCAAGCAACACAGTATTAAACAATACGATAAGAGCAGGAGTACTCGACCAGGACTCACTCCTACTGACCGACGGACAAGAACTTCAACGAGTACGCGGAACGTGCTTCACCTGCCCTGAAGGTGACTTACCACATCGACCGTTTGCACCTCATCACAACCCGAGCGCACCCGCGTACGCACCACTCGAGAAGGTGTATAGCGACATCCTGTTCAATCGGGAACCAGGACAAGTAACATACAACTA